GGGGGGGCGGATCTCCCCGGTCGGCCCCGTCACTGCTGCCGCCGGTCCCCTCCTCGGACCCTTCCTCGTCTTCGTCTTCATCCTCCTCCTGCTCCACTAAGGCGACGTGCAGCAGCAGCATCTCATCCCGCACCAGGCTCATCCTTGCCCTCACGCCGGCAATGTTACCGTGGTTACTGTTGCATGCCCCTTTTACCCTGCCATCCAGAGTCCTGTAACCCCCCCACACCCTCTGTAATCCAAACAAGCCCCAGCCCCCAAATGACTTGATCTCAAAGGCTAGAGCTCACAGTTCCATGCTGGTGAGGTCCATCTAACACAGTCCTAGTTCAGCAGTAGTTGTGATGGACGCATGTGTGAGAGTAACACAGAGAGAATGATGAGAGGTGGAGAAAGCGTTAGTGAGAGAGGCAGGCAGAGATTTGTGGAGTGGCTTTACCTCCTGTTCCTCGCCGCCTCCTCCTCCTCCTCTTCTTCCTCCCGCTTCCCTCCTCCCCTTGCTGGCTGTGACGCCATCCTCCGGAGGACCAGAACGCAGCGGCCCTGCTCCTGCACGCGCACTGCTTCGTCACTCTGTACAGGCTGGACACGAGGGATGGAGAGAAGGGAAGGGGTTTATTATCACCAAGGAGATACCCTCCACTCCCACTCCCACTCCCCCACTCCTGCCCTGCTTGTTCTCCAACTAACACAAATCACCACTGATTTCCATCACAATGCTGTGTCAAAGCCTGCGCTGTAAATTAAGCCCAATTTCCACTGATCATTATTCAAGCTATATCAGTAGGAGCCCCTTCAGGGATTAACAGAAGTGGCTCATACATATTTTAATTACTGATTCCTGATGTCAGCTCTATTAAATTATGACTGGTGCCTTTGGGGTCTCGGTGGTGTGGAGTTAACAATGTTTGCTGTCTCCCACCTGTCTTGATGATTTCATATCCAGATTTGTCATGCCAAGTCACCCAATCTGATATAAATCTGAACCAGGAAAGGTCACCCCTGTTCCATCTTTAAAACTTATTCAGGGAGACAGGCAGGCAGGTCCTTGGTTTTTTGTTTTTGCATTTTTTGCAAGCTAACTAGACCATGTGGGTGGCAAACTACTCTAACTCCTAATAACATTCCAATTATTTGCACATACATAATATGCACAGCAATTACCAGTGTTTTCTTGCCAGGAAATGTATCTTTGTTATTTTCTAAATTACATAAATTAAATAGAAACAAATGCAGTACATCAAAGGTGTCAAACTCCGGTTCCTGAGGGCCCCGATCCTGCATGTTTTAGATATTTCCATCCTTCAACACACCTGATTGAAAGGATCAGGTCATCAGGACGCTCCGCAGGAGCCTGGTAATGGTCCTGTTAATTTAATCAGGTGTGTTGGAGGAAATTCGGTGGAGTCGTTAACAACTCTGGTGTCGTGTGTCAAATTTACAAGACATATTTCTTTTCACCCTGAATTCCATGAATATACCACCTATCTTCAAAGCATTACTTTTGAGCAAAATCCTACGACATTGTCATGGTAACGAACTCCATGCACCGTAAATGTACACAGTCGACTGATGTACTGCATACAAACTCCAAAGAGCATTTGTTGTTCCAGCTTGCAAGAAGGGAAAGGATTATAAACCACTTGACAATGGCGGGTTTGGAAGGATCACAGATATTGACCATAATGAGCACCTCACTGTATGGTGCACGCACATGCATCCTGCACCAGTTCACCCTTTCAAATGCCTCTCCCCTCACCTGTCAGTCAGTGCAGCACTCATCTCTGTGTATGCAATTAGCTGTGCAGACACCCTGGAAGTGTTGTTTTTTTTTTTGTTTTTGTTTTTTTTTGGAGGGTGGGGGCGGGGGTGCTCCTTTAATTGCCTTTTGAGCAGAAGCATTCAAGCGTTTTTTCTAGGGACATTATCATTGTTACGATATGGTGGACATGCAATAATAACGTGCAAGTCTTGTGCTACAAGTACACAAAACATTCGCATTGCACGCATTTAAACATCATGACGCACACATGTATCGATTTTCTATAGCGCTTGCCTTCATTCCGGTTACCGGTGAACTGGAGTGGATCCTCGTTGGTTTTATGCGAGTGGTCAAAATGCACCTGGGACGGGTCACCGGCCCATCACAAAGAACATAGAGAAGAACAAGCATTCACGCTCACAATTACGTCTTTGGACAAGGTAGAGTTTTCACTTTAACCCGAACATGCAGGCCGTAGCCGAGTTTTTAAACCATACACCTCTGATCAGCGAGGCAGAGCACAGATAGGAAGTGACAAGTCATGACAAGTACACACCTGCAGCAATGATCAAAAGGTTGCTTATTTGCGCCTGGGCAAAAAGGTGGACCATGTGGCAAATGGCAAAGCAAGTATATCACTATTATGTCAGTTTGTCAGCCTTGCACTGGTCAATGTGCAAACAAACCTTTCCTCATGATGAATTATTGATCCGACGCTAATGCTGTAGCCACTACTAGTACACTCTGACTGAGCAATGCTGTTGTCTCAGTAAAATAATCAGCTCTCTGGTGTCCAATGCTTGTAACAGGACAGAAATCCCGGGCACTGATATGACCCCAATCCCTATTCAGCTTTGAAGTTTTCCCAAAATGGACTCTGTCTGTCTTTTTTATTTTTTGTCTCTCTTTGGGTTCCAGATGCATTCCGCTGGTTGGAGAAATCCTCTCTGCTATGTGATGTTGGCAAACATGGTATGGAACACTCAAAGCGACCTGGAAGATGTCAGCCTTGACACGGCTCACATTTGGCCTTAATTATGCTCAGCGTTGTTCAAACACTCGCTGGGTTTTCAAAGAAGCAATTGATGTTGACTTGGTTATCCCCAAAAGTTCCTTGCAAGAAGTCTCTGTTCTCAGGCTTTAAGCTCTGATGACATCACCAGTGTGCACGGGATGCAAGATAAATGTTAAATATGAATTCTCTGAAGGATTGAATTCATTGGGAAATCAAACCAAACAAGACTGAAAGTGAGTGCATAACGGTCAGAGTGCACTGGACTGAAATAGTCATTCACCATCTGGGAACTCTAAGCTCTTTGATACCCATGTTTGGTTATGTATTTGAGTCACATGGCCGGTATGCGCGTCGCATCATTGGATTACTGCAAACTATGACATTATCTGGAAACAAAACTAGATAAGCTCTATATTTTCCCATGTCAGGTATTAACTAAGATTTGCTCGGATAACACGTGATGGACATGTACATATAGGTACAGTACATTGGTCACGTGATTTCTACTATTGACAGTATCTAGCAGCCGTATTACGATATCTTTTTTTATGCCATGTTATCAGGCGCAGATTAGCAAAGACATTGTGCAGGCAAAACGTCCTTCTGTTGAAAAACAAGAGCGATAAAGAGAAAAGGTCGAGGACTTGACGCACTCGACTCCACCCTGAAGCCACATAATTTCCCCCCGCATGGTGGTCTGGCCCGCTTGCGTCACTCCATCCTGCCATTGTGGTGCAGTCTCGCTTGCGCAAGCACCCAGTCAGCAGGAAGCTGAGCCCGCCATGATCTCGACCAATAAGAGGCCATCATTTTAAAAGTTCGGTGGACTGGTTTGACATGACGCCATTCTCCCCGCTGTGCTTTATTCCTCCAATTTAACAATTGTTGATTCACTCTGGTGTTTCCTCACATTTATTTCAAACTCATTTAACTGACTTCCCGACAGAATTGAAGCCAATACAAGCATCGTGGAATGTTAGAGCAGACAGTTGGCTCCAAAAATATTTAACCAGGATTTTTTTTTTTTTAATGATTTTCATGTTTATAAACTACCAGAATGGATTTGAAATCAAACAGCATGCATGGCTGCTAATGGAACATGTCCACTGGTGTTTATTTGTGATGCGACTAACTGAGCGAAATAACAAGAATTGACTTGGAAGATGCGTCGAACAGCAGCAAGCTGTTGCTTGGCCAATTTGTAGCTTTGTGTTGTGAGCCAAAATTTGAGTATGAGCAAGCTTCAGATACGCCACTGCTTGAGGAAAATGAGAGTAAATGGAGCGATTAAGGTATTGCAATTAGGGCCCGACCGATATGGTTTTCTGAGGCAGATACTCACTCACTCGGCCACACCCACTGAAGGCTACAAATGAATACTGCGGTATGTACAGTAATTCCACTTTATAAAATACGTTTATTTCTTGTCATTCTCATTTATTATGATTTCTTTTTTTTTTTTTAATTTATTTTTGTTTTTTTTACATATTACACTAAAATGTTTTCTTTTTCTAAACCGCGGTGGTATTTTGGTGGCTTGATAGATTAATGGCATTTTAATACATTTCAATGAGGAAAATTGATTGGATAAACTGTACTAAAAATCTGATAAGACAGCCATTCACAGCATGGATAATGACCCTGAACATACTGATTGAAGGCAAAGAAATCATAAAGTAAATATTATTTGTCAGTGACTGGATCATGACCCAATAGAAGATGCTTTTTACTAAAAGACAAACATGGAATCAGCTGGAAGGTCGACTCAGTGAAGACTTGGTCAAGTGAAAAAAAAAACATTCTCCCCTTAGTGTTCCCAACTTGTTTGATTCCTAATCGATTGTGCTGATATTTATTATAAAAACTGTCACAGTCTAAATATTTCTGGACCTAACCGTAGTGTGTGTTCTGTTTCCTCGGTGGCTTGCCTTGCAAATGAATTGTTTTGAGGGAATGTATTGTGTTGGCATACTGCAATATTATTATACAGTATCATCTTAGTCTTTTTGTATCCTTTTCAGTTGTACTCAAGCGCCAATTTAGTAAAAACGTAATAAAAAATGTTATTGTTGACATCACTCAAAAGATGGAGCACAGCCTTTCGGCAACATTGAACTTCTACATCACCTCATTTGCATAATCGAGTTGCCAAAGTTTTTACCGTTCCGTGTGCCTCACCTCATTTGTCCTTTGCAGGCCCTTGCTGTGATTCTGCAGGAAGCGGCAACCATCCTTGGCCAGTCTCTGGACCATCTCTAATCTGGACACTTCCTCCTTATCATGCACGATGCACATGCTGCCCGGCTGCAGAGAAGGGGGCGCGGAGAACATGTACCTCAGACCGCAGTCCCACGACATCACTGCCTCACCGACCGGGATAACGACAACAACCGGCGTCTGGGAGCTGACTTGTAAAGAGGCGTGCGGGGGTAAAATCACTCAGACGTCAACTCGATTGTCACCGAAGACAAAATCCCTGGGAGTACAGGTGCGTGCGCACAAAGTGAATGGCACACTCCCTTCTCGTCCTTCCTTTGCCTTTCACTACAGGGGCGGGGAGGGAGATGGGAACAGGGCAGGTTCAGGAAACATCTGGCCAGCCAAACACACCCAAAAGGGAAGTGGGAGAATCTCTTGAATGCAGGAGAGTCTGGATTCAGGACTGGGCGGGGTGCTTTGTTGGAAGGTCAAACATTTTGTTCGGTCAATCCCACAATACAATAAGCAAATGTCAAATCGCGTTTGTTAGGCGTTTCTCGGCCTTACATTACGCTTCCTATGAAGGATGGACATGATAATGATAAATGTATCAAGAAACAGGCCAACTTTTATTCAGCATTGAGGTTGAGACGAGATCGCAAAATTATCTTTCGAATTTGTTGGTTGGCACTTTTCATTGACTAATTTGCAGACGAAGATAAGAAATATTCATTTTACAATTTACCAGTTGAATTTTTATGACTTTTGACATGCGCTGCAAGGTTAGTTAAAAAAGGTGAAGCTGGGAAGAGTGAGAAGGGAGGGTGTACTGTGGAACCTTTCTCTCTATTCGAAGATACAAATGAACCATTTATGATTAAAAGAATAACACACTTTACCTTCAAAACACTGTAGTAAATAAAGATAATTCAATTTTAGAGGCAAAAATAATTTCTTCCGCTTTGTGCTCTCAGGCTGATTTTTGAAGATATCACATTAATGATCCTCAAGTAACTGAAAAATGGTCACCTGACTACAGTTTGTCCAGTTTTTTTTTTTTGGTTCTAAATGAGGAGATGGGATTTGGCCACTGTCATGTAAAGAGCTGGATCTATTCTGTGAGAAAGAGGGCTTTTTCCCCACCCCTAAAAATCCTCAACTATTTGCCTGAACACCTTTAACAGAAAGCTGATGAAATGAACTTGACCATATGAGACCATATGAACATAATATAACTGCTTTCCTGACTGACTTTAGCGTGTTTCAAAAAGTTGAAAAATTTGGGAGCATGAAAGTGGCCCTTTCGTGCTTCCAGTTTTCCGTATGCGGCCCTCAAACGAAAACGTTTGGACACCCCTGGTATCGACTGACCAAGAACATTCATTTTTTTCTCCCCATATGACCATTTTATCTACTAGGGTTCTATCGATTTGTCCAGAGTCAGCAGCATACGCTTGACTGCATCCTTACAAGGCCATCCACTTGTGCCCGCGTCCCATATGTGCTGACTCATCAAAGTGCCGCGTGAAAAAAGGGTTCGCAATTTCAGTTGCTCTTTCTTCTTTTGCACCTTTTACCCTTTCACTTGTTTACGAAAACACAATCGGAGTATTCTTACTTCTATCGAGTGTCTCCTCATTTGACTACACCAGCAGGCACACTGTAAAAATAGGCAATCTTAAAGCATACATATTATCCAAAATTGACATTACAATTGATTGCACACAAACATTTGGCTATTTGGAGCACCTGCCTGTCCATCCATCAAGTGTGAAATTAAACAACCCAAAAAATCTTTGGTTATCCACCTAATTCTGAAAATGTTTTCTTTCAGCAAGCCGTTAAGCATTTGTGGGACATCAATTCTGAATTTCCACCATTATCTAGGCCAGCTGAAGATTCAGAGCTACTTTCAAGCGATCACCAAAGAATGGCCACCAGACGACACTGTCTGAAATGCTATCATGCAAGGGCACAGGTGGGAGTTAATGCTCGAACTCCCACAAGTGTCCGAGGCTCCTGCCACCAGGTTAAATCCAAAAGGTAAGCAGAGCTGCATTGATTGTTAGTGGATACACATATTAGTGTTAGCTAACAGTTTTGCTTCTGATAAGTGTCACAAACTCGATTGCTCTGTGAAGTTGTCGGATGGGTGAGAGTGGGTATTTGTGTTTGGTGATGTGTTTATCTCTGCGCTGGGCTCCCGCAAGTTGAAGTTACGCTTGCCTTTCAGTCGTAACTCCACTTGCAGTCGTCATAGTGCCAACTGTGTATTTGCCACTGGACCAGTAGTACTGCTTATGGGGCAGAGCGCGCAGTTGCAAACTTGCACTAGACAGGGTATCCTTTTAAAATAAATGTCAGCCAGACAAGAAATAGGGTGTGTTGAGTTGAATACAATTCTTAAAAAATGGGAAATTTTGACAAAAGCGAGTCTCAGGCATGTTATTGAGACACTCAGGAACTGTTTTCAAACATTGCACAAAATATGTCTTATGTCTATTAAAATAAATTTGAAAAAGAAACACTCTACATTTCTCAACTGTACCAAAGCAATTGATCAAAACCGTAAAATGCAATTGAGTAGCCTGTATGAGAGTGATCAGTCGTGATGCGTAGGGGTGTATGTAGTGTGTTTTCATGTGCGCATTAGAGTTCTGATGGAGAGAGAACGGTGAGAAGGCTCTTCCTCAGCCTCTGGGTTGTGGCCCTGCAGGAGCAGAGGCGCTTGTCAGAGGGGAGCTGAGTGAAACAGTCTGTTTATTGTTGGGGTGGCCAATGTCTTTGATGATTTTCTTGGCTCTGGACCGGCACCTTGTGGTGTTGATGTCCTGGTGCAAACGGGCATATTTCCATTGCCATTGTCCAGGTGGTAGGATCGAGGATATAAGCAATGGCCTCATCAGTGCTTCTGTTTGGGCACTAGGAGAACTGAAGGAGGTGGGAAGTGATGAGCTGAATAAGTCATAATGAGTCCTTCATTAGTAGATTACCTCATGCAAAGACGAACTGCAGCTCGTCTTTCACTGTACATTTCATCATGCTGCATTCATTTATTTATTTATTTTTTGCTGTTGTTTATTATCGTTGGCACTGCTCTTCTAATCTAGATCACAGGCATCTGGCCCTCCATCTCATTGTATGTGCTCCATGCCAAAGATTTCCACATGTTTTCTCTTCTTAACTAGACCGAGATAGTTAATAACCAGATGCAGGTGCAATTATGTAACCTGATGTGCTGATTATTAGGTTTCCCTCACTGAACAACACAACAGGGAAAGGAAGTGTAACTGTCCCGTGCTCTGACCGCATGCCTGTGAACAAACTCACTGCAGCTCAGCCTCTGCCAAGACCAGATGCCGTGCCAATGAGACCCTTTTGGCAGAACGTCAGTTATCTGTAATCTACTTACAGAAAACATAAACTCTCTGTGAACCGAACTATGACCTCAGAACAAAGGTGTGACAGAATAGTGATATTTATTTATTTTGCATACCGTTACACCCCTAGTGATTATGCATTTGTGTGATTTCAATCTTTATGTGTTGCAGCCCTTCCTGTTCTTGATGTTTTCTACTTTTTCCCATACCTTGCATGATGTCATGCACGACAGGGGTTCACTCTTTAGATTGACTTTAGAGCAGTGGTTCTTAACCTTGTCAGAGGTACCGAACCCAACCAGTTCTTATGCACATTCACCGAACCCTTCATTAGTGAAAAACAAAAATATGACTTTTTACAAATTCAAGACAGAAAAAACACATTCATGAAAAACAGAAAAAAGTAAATAAAAAAAGAAATAAGTATAAGTTTTTTAAATTTTACGACGTACTATCACGACAGTCACACGTTGACTACTGAGCGGACTAAATTTCCCGCAGCACTGATTGAACAAGCAATGTAATCATCTGCAGCCAGTGATGGCCAAGCGGGCGTGTCACAACTAATTGACATGTTGAGTTGGGTGTGTGTTCACCTCCATGGCAGAGGCTCCGTCGAACCCCTGAGACCGATTCACCGAACCCCTGGCGGTTCGATCGAACCCAGGTTAAGAACCACTGCTTTAGAGGCATATTGACTTTCAGAAAATGTTGGTCAAATTCCCAAATTGTATGATCTCATGGGAATTTGGATGAAGAGGTATATGACTGTATCATACCGCAGGGAGACAAAGGACATCGCCAGCCTTGAATATCTACGAACAGCTTTGTACTACGTTTCTTTGTAGAGTCCTTTTCTAGTTTCTCAATGAGGCAACCGCAGCTTCAGTGTGCTACCACTGACCCAGTTTCTAAAGTAAACGAATTTCAAAGTGAGAATGCCTCAAGTCAGGCTTGTTAGTGTGGGCACGTTAATCAGGGAATAGCACGAAAAGCATTGGGGATGCTGTAAGGCCTGAAGCAGCAGGAGGAGGATGTGATGAAAGCTCATTTTGCTTGTTGCGCTTTTTCATTGAGACCCAAATCTTTCAACCTCTGCTTATCTTTCGGTTTACAGTATTACACTTGTGGCATGCCTTCTTATGTCCTATCCTTCACGCATAAGCTTCACTGCTTGAAAACAACTGCAAAACAGAGTCGATACATAAATCAATATTGCCATTAAAACAAAAAAAGACAAAAATCACAACATCATCAATCATACACACCAAAAAAAAAACCACGTTTTAAAATATACACTAAAAAATGGTAGACCAAAGTACTGACAGATTAGGTGATTTTTTTTTTCTCACAATTTTGGGGTGGTTTTTTTTTTTGTGATGTTCCCACAGAAGGGAGGAAAAGAGATTTTAACCGAAGATCATAAATCGGAACTTAACTGCCACAGAGTAACTGGCTGGTTCTGGCTGCTCAGTGTTATACAAGCAGAAGAGGGTCTCCTTGGAGTTCTTTTCCAACGGTGCCGGTGAAATAACCCCAATTTTTTTTGTAACACGTGCTAACACAGGAGTAAAGTCATAATCAAAGTAAATGTAAATGAATAAAAAATTCGAATTGGGAAAACATGTAAGAACAGCGGTAACAGAGTGTGCCTCCTTTTGCTGCATGTTTGTGATCTCATGCTGCTGTGTGAAGAAGTTCATTTAATGCTGTTTGTGCTTCCACATTCCACACTTGAGATTGAAAACGAGGTCCAACTCCACCAGAAAATGAAAATCAAAAAAAGCTTCATTAATTGCATCACTGCCAATACAAAGCCATCAGGGCAAACGTTATCAGCGTGCACGCTTCCTGTTTCCTCTCCATGTCTGTCAAGCTGTCAACGGGCGAGTGGTTTTACGTCATCTTAGTTTTAGGATGTAGTTTCATTGTACAATGGTTAACGTATCTATCTGAAATTTTAAAGGCAATATAAAAGTTATTTCGAGAGGCTTTTTAAATTGGAGTGCAGTTGACGAAGGTTGAATGACACCAGCAATTTGAGTCAGGATCAAATGATTTCACTTTGCATTATTTTCCATGAGAAAGGAAAGGAAAACAACCAATGTCAATGGATTGAGTTCGACCTGAAAGGTTCTACTGTACTTCTACAAATTGATGATGTTACCGGTAGTTGTAGTTCGTGTTCAGTTTGAATTGGGTAAGCCAATTAGCGTCGCCTTATTTAACTTTTGACCATACTTTTAGCAAGTTCACCATCATAAATTTCACATTACAGCAGTTTTCCTTGCCGCTCTACTGGCATCATGTCAAGACAAAAATGTAATTTTACTAGTTCTTTATTATTTATCATGAGGAGGATATCAGTCAAACATAAACAGTGACAACACACGATCTGTCGAGGTGACAGGAAAATGATACAAATATATTGCAGAGGTGATGCTGGTTGTGGGCTGCGTATGGAGGCAATATGAAAACATAGAGTAGCTGTCTTCATGCTCTCTGTCGAGGTGAGGTCATGGTGGGTCCATTTGAAGTATGAAAGTGTGGTTGAACACCCCCTGTAGGAGTGACAGTGTTGATTTCAAACATTTTGAAAAATATTGACTAACCCGATAAAATGGGTTTTTTTGAAATACACGTGCCATTGGAGATCAGTTTTTTGTTCTATAGCACTCAGGACAATACGTTTATCTGTTGTTGTGCGTTTGTTTGATTCCTGCACAGTAAAAAAAGAATCAGTTGAAGACACTCTTTTTTTGTCCGTTAAAAAGGGAGCTGCCTCTCGTACTTTTATTTGGGGTTTATTTCATATGATCTCATGTGCAATTCCCTTTATTTTCCTTAATTGGAAATCCTGGAATATTTCCAAGTGGGTGGATCAGTACCGTCTTGTATAATGCCCGTCTTTCTTAGCAATGCATCAGCGTTTGCTTCACAACAGCGGTTCTTTTGTACATGCAGTTTAAAAAAAATGTCATCATCCATCCACTTTCATAGCGAAAGCTTTCAAAGGTTCATTGAAAGCCTTGCGGTAATCCTTTGGGGTTTACTCCTGTTGTAAATTCCACTAGGACATCGCCCCCGGAGGTTTCATTGCTGCATTTATAGCGGCCATTCATATTCATGATACACTGTTGCTCCCATTCTATTGCACCTGAGTTCTGGTTTGCTGCTTTATCGCATGCAGGCCCTGCAGGGAGGAAGCAGCTGAGGTGAGACAGAGACTCTGGCTGTGGTGTGCGGAAATGAATGGCTAAGTCACGGAACGGGAGGGACACATTCATTTCACATGGTCAGAGCGGACTCGGTGCTGGTAAAGCATCTCGTGCTTGCATTTGGGGGCCTTGTCTCCCCTTTTAGGTGTCCAGGCGACGTTTTCTCTTGGCTTTGTGCGCATACAGGAAGTACATTGTGTGTCCAGTGGTGATGAAGAGCACAGAAATGAGAACTAGGATACCAAAATGCTGTGGCTGTGGAGCAGAGATGACCATTATGAAGTGGAGCAGGTCCATCAGGTAATTCATAGAGCTCTGCACCCCATTTACAACACCTCGCTCGGACTCACAGATGTTCTCCTGCAACAGCTGGGTGACTGTCAGGTCAAAGGACCACAAACCTGCAACACAAGTGACAGTGGGCTTGAAAGAAATGACCAGGGTAGCAGTTGATTTGTAATTGTGACAGTGTATATCGTAATGACCGCCTGCGCATGATATCCAAAACTGTATTCAAATATTTTGCCTTTACAAAGAAAGTGCAGTTTTGATTGACAGTGCCAGAATAGGTAGTTTGTGATGGTACTGCCTACTGCATCATAATGAGAGCTATTACGGATACCTCAATTGGTTACACAAAAGAGTGAAAAATATTAGCGACAGCTCTGATTATGATGCAGTGCAATTTTACATCACAGCAAATGACCATAACTAATAGCATATTGTCAAATAATGCCTCTCTGACAGTATGAATCAAAGCTGAGCACTTTTACCTGTGCATAGGCAGCAAATTTGTGTTTAATACAGTATCATTATATTGTGCAATTAGTGATTATGGCTGGTCGTTGTGCATGGTAATATTAAATTTACACATGGTGAGAAATTGTTTCAGATTCACTTTTTTTGCCTTAGTTGTTTGAAAAATGAAAGCCAAGTATTAACGACAGTGCGTTATGTATGTGACCTTAAATGCATTTTTGATGTGGATTTAAAAAGTCTCGACTCTTTCCTTGCACATCGGGATTTTGAGATATTCTCCTTTTTTGTTTTAACCTTTTACCAATCAAAGCTTGCGCAACATAGAATTCACCGTGCGTAATAATTTATAAAGTATTACTTTTAAGAAAAAAAAAAATCCACCTGCTGATGAACAGCAGCTCTGCTGGTTACAGCTAAGTAGTGCACTATCATCTGCCTTAACATTCCTGTAGGCAAGTTGTGTCCTGCGGCCAGTTCTGATCAAATTGATGTTATGATGCCACATCTACAGAGCTGCTTTCATCTTTTATATCATAAGGTCATCAATTTACAAAACTTTTCCCTCACAATCCAGCTGCCTTATAAGGTTACCGTACTGGTAAGTGAGAGACTTTTTGGATTTAAACAGGTTGGCAGACAGATTAAGAATTGATTGTGGCATTTCACAATGGCGAAACTAACATGTTTAGTGGTGAATGCACTATGTAAAAGTAAATGAGCTCTACTGAATGCCTAGTGTTGTTTTAACCGCATCCGCTCACCGATGCGTGCCGTGATGACTCCCATGAACAAGAGGATAATGGAGGTGTAAGATTCTGGCGCGCTACCGGAGGGCACGTTGTCAAAAAGCACAGTGTTGTTGGTCCAGTGGATGGAGGAACGGTCGGGTAGAAGTGGTTGATTGCTGCCCCCCCTCGAAGCAGAAGTGTGTTTTTGTCTTTGGTTCGCCATGCCTCCAACCTCCGAGGAGGAGTTTGAGGTAAAGTAGGGCATGAGCAAGCTAAGATCCATGGGGCTGCCGGGGGCAAAGACGGAGCACACGCACAGGAGCAAGCAGCCCAGGTGGAGGCAGCTGGAGATGATGCCCGTGTTGATCAGACCGTACGTCTTCCTCAGTCTCGTAAACATGACGGTGCCCATCAGACCGGTGATGGCCGATACGCCCATCAGCACACTGAGGAAGGAGCCGCTTATGCCCTGAGTGTAGGCGTAGCCGGTGGTGATGCAATCAAAGCCCAGTACGGTAGTGTAGAGGAATGCCAGGCCCATTCCCGCCAGGAAGACCGGCTGTTGATAGTAGGACCTCCATCCGTCCTTGCAGGTGCTCACCAGCCAGCGAAACCTCCGCAAGCACAGTGGGAGATAGGTCATTTCTTTTAGGCGGAGCCTCGCATCACTGTCGCCTTCTGCCACAGGCTGAACGACTTGACCTTCACCTGATGACAAATAATACGTCAATTAGACAATATGTTTGGGACAGGCTTGCGAGATAAAAATGTACTGACAAGAAGCAGTCTTTTTTTTAATATCACATACAATACAATTCCTGTTCACAACGATCAGAAAAAACATTTGTAACTCTTAATATGCAAAATAATTTCATGGCCTGTCGCTATTGCACTACGACTGGGGAAGAATTTGGAAAACAAAAAATCTTTTGAGTTATATTTTTATACTGATTCAATTAAAATTGGTATGGCCATTCCAAAATTGCAGTCATTATTTTTTCTCACAAGTCAAGTTTTTTTTTCTCCACAGCTTACCAGATAAACAAAATTCCCTGATTAGCTGTTGTAAGACTTATTAAGAGTGGATTCATTGACAGTGTATTTGAAGTGAAATCACAGCATCGTACCTTGCGATCCGCTTCTGTTCATCCCTTGCAGATTGGCCAGGCCCACCTCCGCCGTTGGTGGTTTGACAGAAAGAGCGGGGACAATGCGGTACACCCGGGACAAGAAGAAAAACTCCACAATGAGAGACACGAGGTTCCATCCCAAGATGAAGCCACACCCAACTACATTGGAGGCCAGGGTCATGACCTGTCCCACGGCGAGCGGGGCCAGGATGTTCGTCACCTGATCTATCCGCCTCATTGTGGCATTCATTCCTTTTTTTCAGGATCAGGGAGGTTTAGATTAATGCGCTTGCGTGCCCGCCGTGACCTCATGCCAGAGTCGTCTTACCAGCGAGGTGGCCGCGATTGTAGCCGGTGATGACTATGATCCAGTCCCGCTGGATGGCAATGGTCAGCGCAGTGCTTGCAAGGTTTGCCACATCTGCCAGGACGATCACCACCGTATAACAAACCACCTTGTGTAAGTTTTGCGATGCAACATGTTATTATGGAAGCACAGACGGATTGCAGCCACAAGCTCACAGCACAGAGGGAAACGACAGCAGCGATAATCACCGCCATTATTCTGTTATTGAATGCGAGTGAATGGACATGCTGTCATTATGTCGGTCGGGTGTACTCACAGTAAGCCAGCCATCCCAGATCTGCTCAATCCTTTGCTTATATGAGAAGACCAACATGAGCACAATGCTACAGATGGTCACTGAGATGTTCTGGATGAACAGAGATGCATGTGCAACTGAAGTAAAAAATAAAACAAAAAGAAAGAGAAAGAAAAAGAGTCTTAGGGCCTGGTTGATATCTTCATATACGCAAGCTAACTTAAACCAGATGTTGGTAACTGTGAATGGTGTGCCTCGCCGGTTTTGAGTGTAGAAATCAAATCAGGAAATGATTTACACTTAAGACGCCGAAAGGCGAATGCAATTTACCACATGGCGGGATGGCAAACCAGCACACGGCCCAGACTCAAGATTGAGATGCACTGATTTATCACCCGCTCGTCTGATGCACAGTCATGCATGCAAAAATTTTCAGGTGGGTGTGAAATTGCTGCCGCATACCTTTATTCCTGGGATTGCGATCAACCCAGTCTCCGATCAAAGCTCCGAGCAGGAGCACCGAGCCAGCTACCACTAAGCCGAAGACTGCAGTCAACAGCAAGTTACGTCCGTACAGCTCAATCAGGAACACAGAGATGGCAAAGTGCCACATTCGGTCGCCCTGATAAACACAACATGAACATTGTTATGTTTTTGTTAGCAGTCATAGCTGAAGTCAGCTCAAATGAGAATATGTATGAATCGTAACTCAAAAATAATATCCTGTGCATCACTGAGGTATGGTTTGCTTCACCAGCTCATTCATCCATACCTTGCATAGTAGTTTCTAATCTTGGTGGACTAGCCAGGATGCCAAGGGCCCTGTTTTAAAGGGCGGGCGCATGTGTGCTCGCCGTAAAAACTGGTGTATCTTCATTTTCGTGCCGGGGCAAGACTTATTGGCCTGCCGCGCTGCGCCTCGTGGACTGAAGGTGGACATTTTCTATTCCACGCCCCTGGTGCATCTGACAATTTGGTGACAGAAAGTAGACTAGACCTTTGAGTAGGTGTGTTGTGGTCCAGGTTTTGGAACGTGGTTTTGTTAGATTTGGTCTCGGTGCCGGCAGACAGATTCTGCGCTCCACTGATATGTGTGGTGGATGCCATTGTATTTTTTTTTTTTTTTACTCCAGCAAATGAGTTTCTCCTTCTGCCATGTAAAGGAATGTGCCTCTCGTGCAGCAAGTTTAAAGTGAATGAATGCAGTCTCCTCAATTAGCTGTGGAGCAAGTCGGCTGTATTCACACCCACAACGATGCAAACTGACGGTTTCAAACTGCGGCAAGCCACGTGCCAGACTTGCGCCGGACACGAATATAGAGCGGATGGTGTGGAAATGATGAGAAAACATGATTTTATAAGAATTTGCACAAACATAGGGATTTGCTCTCAGCAGTCAAGTCAATCATGCATTTGGGCAATATATGAGGAAGTACAGTGCACTTCAAGACTTTACTGTACTTTGGCACATAAAAGAAATGAAAAGAGATGTTTGTTTCTGCTTTGCATGATACTGCCTTATGCTTTGATTCTCACGTGTGTTTGCGTGTGTGTGTGTGTGTGTGTGTGTGTGTGTGTGTGTGTGTGTGTGTGTGTGTGTGTGTGTGTGTGTGTGTGTGTGTGTGTCCGTGCGTGTGTGTGTGCGTGCGTGTGTGTGTGCGTGCGTGTGCGTGTGTGCATGCAGGAGATGTTTCTTACCCACATTGACAATGCTCCACTGACATAGATGAGGAACTTGGGACCCTTGAGGTAGATAAGCGCTGAACCTCATAAAAAAAAAATAAAATTATACAAATTGAATGGAGGTACAGTACTTTATATATGACATTATTTGAGTCTTGCCAATGTATTCCGTTTGTCTTCAAAGATGAGCTCACCTGGTATGCTCCTGGCTTTTTTGGCTCTGGCATTCCTGATGTCGTCAGGCTCGAACTCCACCACAACGCCGCCACATTGGGAGGACTCAGCTCGCTGGGACATTGCCTGTGGAAGATGGTAAACATGTTCACTCTTTTGTTAAAGTCTATGAAGTTCACATCAGCCCAAAGAAGTATGAAGTCGTTCATTGTATCCTACTGTGGCTCACATGTATTTCACAATCTCAACAAAAAGTCATTCCGGTAATAATATCTCCTGTGCATCACATTGGAAAGCAGGAAACAAACAAGTTGTTTTTGCTGTTGAACAAATGTAGCCTTTAGCTCAGAAAAACTCAAAGGTAGGGGAGTCACCTTCTTTCTGGTCTTACACTCGATCCTTGCTGCTGTTTCTTGATGTATGTTGTGCCATGTATCCTACATTGGGATGCTCGTGTTTCCTGAGAGCTGGAATTCAAGCTGTAGTAGTCTGAAAAGCTTAATAGCATCCCAGTGCTCAAGTGCACCATTGTATGAAAGTGCCAGAAAAGCAGAACAGGCAGTGGGACAACAAAGGCAGCCAGCATATTCCATAGCACGTGACGGCGGCGAGGACAATGTCACCGTCCACCCACTCCACAAAAAGGACAACTGCGTGACTGGTCCGGCTCAAAGAGGACACATGCATGCTCCTCGCGTACACATACGTGTAGATGCGCACACACATACTGTAGGTGCAAACACTTTTCTCTCTTATATCGTGTTCTATGTTGAGATGAGAGGCAGTTGTGGCATTCACAACAATTGTATTGACATTGCCGGCTCTAGAAAATTGGATTTGGATTTGATTGACACGTTTGGTTGACATTTTTACAAGCATGCTGACATCGTTACCATTTATTTGTTAAATACATGCACGGAATGTGGATTGGTAATTAGACAAACTCGGGCCGGTGGACTGAGAGAGGGAGGGTTCCACCGCTGTGGGAGTGGTCACAGCTGAGTTTAATGATAGCCAGTCATTTCCTTTTAAATGCAGTGAACTCGTCATGCATTAATTTCTCGACATGTCAGAAGCACAGTGCACACTTGGAGACTGACCCCCTACTCTGATAGTTCACGTGCCCACCCATAACTGTGCTTCCAGTGGAATGATTTAAAACATAATACAATGATTCAGAGGGTTTGATGCCTGCTGTTCACATATTTCTGAATGAAATATGTCGTGGTAAACCAGCTGTGGAACCTGCACCCATGATGATGTGGCCTGAGCAGGTGCAAGTTTAAATCGACTTTGTGCTCCCAAATTGCCACTTCGGCAGGTGCTCCTATGTCTGCACCGTTCTGCCCAGATTGACAGTGGCCGGTCTGTCAAACTGGCAAACACGCACGTCTTGCACAGATACAAAAATCAGGACAGCTCAGGTGCCCTGTCAGCCCTAAATGTTAAACGTGTGTGAGAGAGAGTGAATGATAAAGCTATCCGTCACACGTGTATCATTTATTGGAAGCTTAGCAAGACTTAAACGGAGAAAAAAAACTGTCAAAAATCCCATGGCACTACATTTCAGGTATGTGGTGCTGCTGTGGCTGGCGGGAACATAGTGTCGCATTATAATTCATCTCAATTATACATTAAAAAAACTACGAGATTGGGTGTTTTGAATGACTTTGGTAAATCAGCATATGAAACTCATGTAGGCAGGATCTTTGAGTCTCTGGAACTTTAGTAGTTCACTGGTGGGCTCTTCACATTTTCTTTTCTTTGCATCAGAGATGTTTTATGATACATTCATGCCTTCATTAATTAATAAGAGGCTGTCCTTTGCCTTCATTTATTATTCAGCTAAATTGTTAATTTATATCACAAGGAGAAATACAATAGAATTCAGTGAGCAATCTCTGCAGGGCCCAGGGCCTTAGATGATTCCGTCTCAGGACTTTTCTTACAGTAATGAATAAAGTGACCTTGAAATTAAAAATGATATTATGCATCGCTTTCTAATGATGCAAACCATTACTTGTACAATATAGCGTAACATTGCATGTGTATTTTAAAGGTCATTCTATCTTTTACCTTAACACTCATTAAATTATAATCATGGTGAAATCCCCGCAAAACTCTACACAGTTTTTCAAAAAATTTAATTATAAAACTGCAACAAAGGTGCACAAAGTTTATTACATACTTTTAATACAGCACACATTTAAACCGCAAAAGCCGACATGAAGGACTTTGCGTTTTTTATAGAAAGTATATAAACAAGACAAGATCAACGAATGAAGAAAAAAAAAAAGATTACAGAAAATAAACAACAGCAAAGCTGAACTGCAGCAGATTATTTTTTTTACTCTATTCACACGCCTCAAAAATACTTCACACTTAACAAATCTCTACACTGACCCCTGCTGGACACACATCTACAACATTTAAATAGCGCTTTGACAGATTAACTCATAACACTGGAAAAATAAGTGTCTATACTGTTTTAAAAATGGATTCGAACAAAGGATATTATGCCAGCTATAATTTGGGCTTGTCATTGATTTGAATGGCGAGCTGTGACTTCTTTGTTGCCTTTGCCCTTAAACATTTGAAGAGTGCAATGAGAGGTACAGCAAGACTCGGGATGCCTGCCAGGATGAAGATGATCACATAGATCCACGGTGGATACGACTTCTCCTCCAGAGTTGGGAATTTCTCCTGCAAACAGTGTTTATTATTAATGAGTTACAGACGGTGCAGAAGATCCTTATTCAGAATACTGCCAGACAGATGTTAATAAACGTACATATTCGAGATCCCAGGCTTTGTAAAAGATCTTTTCTGAGACTTTAGTGATGAAGTAAAAGATTAAGATAAAGATCATGATGAGCGGACTGATGAATCTCCACGTAGCCTGCCAGAAAAGGTTTGGTTTGTGTCCAATCATGAACTCGATGTCTTCATTGAACCTGAGCAGACAAACACAAAAAAAAGTGCATGATGATTTAGGCGTGTTGACGTCATACTTATCAGTGTACAGTACTTGCTATTAGTGTCTGGACTCGTAGCCCAGATATGCATTTGCATATTTCCTTATTTAATCCTGGATCCATTCGAATGTGTACTTTTGCTGAAAAACATGTCAAAGTCCAAAAAAAAAGAAAAATGAAAAACCCAATGTGATTAGAACGGTAAATGGAGTGCCCTTACATTATGCCTAATGCCCTTTTGCAGGCCTCAGATTCACTTTTTGGAGTCTACCAAGACTGTAGGTGGCTGATGCGCTAATGAAGCAGCGACCACCTCTGGAAAAGTTTTCATTTTCAGTTTTGAATAACTTAAGACCCTGTGCAGAACCCAGTAGAAGACCCAAGATTGAAGGAAATACCGCACAGGAGGGCAAAGAAAAGATTTATCTACATATATTTTTTTAACAATTTATACGTACACATAAACCGCAACATGCATCAACACATTTTGGAAGGTGGAAATGCAATTCAAAATGAGACTATTTGAATTACCTGTCTATCCCATATATGTAAACCACGGAGATCATCTCACAGAATCCAATGACTAGCAGTGGGATTGATCCTCCATAAGTGTCGAATAAAGACAGCCAATAGTTCCCTGAGCCTTGGACAAAGATCAGGCCCACCAGACAGCAGACCACACATGTCACACCTGAGGAGGTGAAAAAAAAATGTTTCCCAAGATTTACAAAAAAAAAAAAAAATCCATCACATCGGAAAAAGGTGTAAAGAGTGTGTGAGCTACCTGTGACGGCTTCTTTAGGCCACTTCTTCGGAAAAACCTTGAGGTCTTGCAAAGGTACCACAACGCCTTCGATGTTCCCAAACATAGATGATAGGCCGAGGCTGAAGAGCATGACGAAGAAGAGGACGGCCCACAGTGGGGAGAAAGGCATCTTGGTGATGGACTCTGTGAAGACGATAAACGCCAAACCGGTTCCTTCAACTCCCTAAAATAAAGAACAGACAATTTAGCAGCGAGTATGCTCACAAAGCTGCCATCTTCAAACAAAGTCAAGTTTTGAAGGGACAGTCATTTCCAGGATATCGCCTGCCTATTTTGGAGAAAAAAGAACACACACACAATATCCCATGACAAGGAAGGTAACCTTTATAATCTGATCCAAGGTCAAACCCTTGCCGACGTTATCTTATGAACTGTACAGGGCCGGCAATGTGCAGGCGATGTTTTGAAAAAAAAGTTCACCACTATAAAATGTAACCGCAAAATCCGAATTTTACCCTAACATTTCCTTGGCTCAGTCATGTTTGACTTTAGATGTTCCACTATTGTTTCATGAAAAAAACAAAAACAACTGTGGAATCGTTACCTCACTCAGAAACGTATTTAAATCACAAGAGCCTAGATCCAGTCCTTCAATAACGTCCGGATGCGTTGCATTGAGATGCCGTAAAGCCTCAGTGTAGTTGCTGTCAATGATGTGTCCCTCAGGAAGGTCAAATGTATTTAGGAGCATCAGGATGTTGCTAAAATGTAAAATATGGTATTTCAGCTGGTAGAAAGGATGCAGGTATACATTGATGTCAGAATGTGATGAATAACAATCACCCATTAATGCAGGTGTCATATTGTTGCGTTGCCCTGAAGCCGATGACTGTATAGATGACCGTCGCGGCGAAAATAGACGTGATGCCGTTTATTATAGAGATGATCACTGCGTCCTGTTCGCAGTTGTTACTGAAAGCATACACAGGTACAAGGTGAGGCTTGCGCGGTTTTAAAAGCTGTCAAAGGTCAGACTTACTGTACTGAGTTGTAGCTGGAGAAGGATATGAGGCCTCCGAAAGCCAGAGAGAAGGAGTAGAAGACCTGAGCACCTGCGTTCATCCACGTTGAAGGGTTAGCCAGCTCTGCGAGCTGCAGATTGGAAGCAATTCATCATGAACCTGATCTTAGGTTCGCACATGGAATTAAAACCCAATGATCGGCCCCCAAGAAAATATGAACCAAGTAGTTGGATTCTTGCAACTCTGATCAGGATGACGCCATTTGCAGTCAATGACACAATGGCAAAGGCATGCTCACCATTCAGTGGCCTTACATGAGGGTGCTCCTGAAAAACTTACGTTAGGTGTGAATAGAAACTTGAGTCCACTCAAAGATCCCTTCAGCGTCAACCCCCTGACCAGAAAGATGGTCAGCACCACATACGGAAGAGTCGAAGTCACATATACGGCCTGCCAAGAGGAATCATACGCGATCTCTTTATCTCAAACCAGACACAATTGAAAGTACAGGTTCCATCATTCGTCCCCTTATGCAGTACCTTGCCAGTGGTCTCGATACCTCGCACGATGCAAACGTAGAGCACAGCCCAGGCACATATGTGACTTAGCAACGTGCGCCATTGTATGCCGCCATCATCCAAAATACTTGCAGTTGTGTTCAGAGTCTCCCTGTACCAGAAGTAGTCCACTGGGGAGCTCCTTGCACACTCGGAGACCAGGCCTGCAATTACGATGGTGTTGTTGTTGTTCTTCTTCTTTTTTTGAAAGTTCCTCTGTGCAAGTATTCCCTAATATTCAGTGGAGACATACCTGTTAAATTTTCATTCATCGGACAGTGGCTCCAAGGCAGGGGGTCTTGAAATGAATTGAAGAAGTACCAAAGAATCCAAGCAATGATGGTGTTGTAATACAGGCTGATGGTCAGAGAGACACACATGGAGGCGATCCCTGTAAATACACGTTTTCATTTTGTTTAGGGTCCTCCAAGGACAACTTCAACGATACAACGAACGATGCTCACCAATCCCCGTCAAGTAAGGATGAATGGAGGACCACACCCCCAAACTGCCTCCCCTTAAACGCTGACCGATGGCGAACTCGAGATGAAGCAAAGGGATTCCCTCAAGAACCAGCAGGATTAAAAAGGGGATCATAAACGCCCCTGCACGGGAAACAGTTCATTGCCGTTATCTTTATTTACATCCTATCATATAGATGAGGATGGAATGACGCAAGCAAACATAAAAGCAGGCAGCTGATGCAGCCTGTTTTGCAAGCCAGAAAGCACGTGCACTTTTACAAGAATGCCAGCCTTTGAACGGAAAATAAAAAAGCCTTATCTTCCAAGTGAGGATATACGTATTGCTGGATCAGCAGCTTAAATAAGCTTATATATGTAGCAGTAAGGTACAGACGACAATAACATGCCCATAGTTCTTTGCGACCTCACTTGAGTTGAAAAAAGGTTACCGGATTTGTCTCTGACGACACTGTTGAAACAATTCGATTGGGTTGCCTTCATTGTCCCCGTGGGGCGATTTGGTTGAAAGACCACAGTCATTACAAAATACAATGATGAGAAATGCACAACTAGATTACGACTGTATATACTGTCGACTAAAAAGGACATTACATAACCAATGCATTATACATTGTACTCTAGGTCTGTAAATAAATTAGAAGAGCCTGGGGGGAAAATATGCATTTCAGCAGCTCAATTCAGAAAGTAGGACTTAAATAGTACTACACCATACACAGAGGGAAAATATTTGTTTCTCATTTTGATGAATTGGATTTATTTCATGATCCCTGCAAACAGACAAAATTGCCATCTCAAGGAAATTGAATGTGATGCAAGAAACTTAAGTTATTTTTTTCATATAAAACTTAATTGAGCTTCTGGCCATGTACTTCATCAATCTATTCAACATCAGTTTCAATTTTTAAACTGAATTACCGAAATGAATGAACCTTTCTGTGGTTTAAATAAAAATCCTGCCCACATTAAATTATGACAATCACAATTCAAATCTTCTTCTCCTTTCGGCACGTCCCTATTCAGGGGTCGCCACAGCGAGTCAGTAATTTCCATCCGCCCCTGTAAACCGTCCTACCAACTCGCATGGTCGTCTTGGCAAAAGTATTACACCGGATGCCATTCCTGACGCAACCCTCCCCATTTCTCCGGGCTTGGGACCGGCACTGGGGAACAGTGCACCCCCAGGGGAGGGCACTGCCCCCCAGCGGCTGGGTTGACAATCACAATTCAAATAATAAAGCAAAAATAAATGGACATGCTTAATAATAAAAAAATAATCAATAAATCTAACTCAAACTCATTCAGATCATTGTGCCCGCTCTTGCTTGCAAAAGCATTTCAAATATGTCTGACATCTCTCAGTTATCTCTTGTGCAAATACCTCTTCGAGGAACCCTTCACAAGTATGTACCAAAAGTATCTGCTCTTTGGAACTGTTCATTTTTCTTTTCACCTTGACTAAAGTCCCACTTTCCCAAGGCAAAACACAGTACATTCACTGCCATGCTTCACACTGGGCATGCTGTTCTTTTGCTGTCCAATTTTGTTTTGCATACTGTACGGCATTTTGGCAAAAGCGTTCAAGGATGGCTCCCCTATACAGTCGTGAGTCGGTGAGGTGCGGGGGGGCAACCACATAAAAATATGCATGTAAGATTGTTGTCACATGTTGGACACAGCCCCTACTTGCCAGAAATTCCTGTAGCCTCTTTAATGTTATTTTTCAAGTAAATTGTACTGGTTATAGTTGACATTACAGGTCAAAAATATTCTCACAGGATTCATTCATATCAAAACGAAACAAGCAAACAAAAAACGGTCATTTTAATATTGTAGAGTTAAATATCATCTTTCGCAAGACCACACAATATTACAAAGAATACACCGTGTATGGTTGTAAACTCACCTCCTCCATGACTTTGACACAAATAGGGGAAGCGCCACACATTTCCCAGTCCCACACAGAACCCGACGCAGGTCAGCATATACTGTGTTTTGTTCTCCCATTTGGGCCTGTCACCCGCCTCGTCCTGTTCCAGCTTGTCCAGCTGCTGGTGCGACAGTATCCTGTCATCCAGGCCCGCGTTGGGGACTGTGAGCTTCATGATCTGTCAATAAACACGGTGCCCTGTACTGTTCCTGGGATGTAAATGATGGACTATATAGTGGATCTCTGTTACATATTGACAGGGAGCTTGAAGCCGGAGGTGTGACATCTTTTGAAGCCCACCCATGAAACTTAAGTACCGGTAGTGTCTTATCTGACAGCGACAGGTCATTGCTCTTGTAAACATTTATGGGGAAACATATCATTTTAGTAGTATTTACTGTACAGGGTGGCCTTCAAGGCTTTGGTAATCACTGTCTCAGCACAACTCACGACTGTTTTTGTGTACAAACCAGTATTACCTGGTAGCTGTAAAAGTGAGCGAAGACAAGTGATATCCGCCTCTCGGTCCATCGAGCTGCCTATCTGTCTGTCCTTCTCGCAATCTATCCGTGTCTGTGTTCGTTCATCTAGCTATCTGTCACGTGACCTGTTTAGACCCCAAAAAGCAAGGACTCAGCACAATAAGGGAAGTTATTAACTGACACGGAGTAATTATTGGAAGGATCCTTCAATGGTCGTGGTGGCTGGAGCCCTCAGAGTACAGCACAACCGAGCGATGAGATAATAAATGTCCAAAGAGGTTATCGTCCCCCAGGTGAATTGACATTTTCTAACAATGGGAAATGTGTGAAGCATTAGATCAACCAGTTTTCTGAAACAGTCATTTATAAGAGAAGATATTCTTTATAATGTGGATGAAAATTTGTGGCCCAAAAGCCACAAACGTCAAGTGCAGGAAGTGTGCACTGAAATTGTCATGATCCGTCACTTAATGCACAATTTTCCCTGAGTAGACCACACTATGTTCTCTCTTCTACCTTGTTTTTGTTGTTTTCTTTTTGCGACACAGTGATGTATTTTGCTTTCTGTGTTGCAACGGGATCTGGCAACAAATTTCAGGAAACACAGTTAAAGTGTCAATTCAAAGGTCTGGTAGAGGTGAACAGGTGGCCTGGACACTCCATTGCTTCAATAAAGTTACAAATGAGGCGTGTAAGGCTGACGAACAGGAAAAAGGTCAGCAAAATAAAAGGATGGGCAGGAAATGAGATGAAAATGCTATCTATCTATCTATCTATCTATCTATCTATCTATCTATCTATCTATCTGTCTGTCTGTCTGTCTGTCTGTCTGTCTGTCTGTCTGTCTGTCTGTCTGTCTGTCTGTCTGTCTGTCTGTCTGTCTGTCTGTCTGTCTGTCTGTCTGTCTGTCTGTCTGTCTGTCTATCTATCTATCTATCTATCTATCTATCGATCGATCTATCTATCTATCTATCTATCTATCTATCTAATTTGTCTGTCTAAATGTTGCCTTTCTAAAGAAAACATTTTCAGTTTCGATGGATACTGTCAGACATATTCGTGACTAAAAAAATAAATTCGAATCACCTCCCAGTATATGATGCAGTGGAGTCTTTAAGTATACGTTTATATTGTAAAATTACATTTCCAATGTCATATTTATTTTTAATCGTGTGCGTGTTTTTACAGCGCAGCTCTCGGGATGCATTTCATTAAGTGGGATGTGTTCATCAACGCGTACTCATTATGGCCCCTTGAGGGCGCCACCATGCTTGTAACATGAGCCGTGGTCTGCTTCCAGGCAGTTTGTGTTTGGTGCATCGCTCTGGAAGAGGAAAGATCGCGAAGTGAGGTCCTCATCGGCTCTGTGCTTCAGCACCACAATGCTGCTGGATGCCGCATAAGAAAGAGACAGAGAGAGCAAGACAAAGACGAAGCTCCGGATTTTGACTTTCTTGCACCGGCTGAGTCTACTGTCCTGCCCCGGCTTGGTGCATGGTGTTGCATGGTGGAGGTGGCGGTGGGTGTCCCGCATGGAGACGCTCCGAGTAGGTTAACAAGAGACAACTGCGGAGGAACCTGCGCCGGAGGCTCTGTCGGGAGGCGTCCGCTGTTTTGTCCCCACAGCCGGCCTTGCATGGAGGACACGCCATGGCTACGTTTGTGTGCAAGGTGCAGTTCTTAGATGATACTGATCCATTCAACAGCACCAACTTCCCGGAGCCCAGCAGACCTCCAGTGTACACATTCAGGGAAGATATTCCGCTCATCAATCAAATTGCTGGAGTGCACAGGCTGCTAAGAGCCCCGCATAAGGTATGCACTGTTGACATGCCTTTTAATGCTTCACCTGCTCCTTCACACATACACATTAATAATTAGCCCCAGGGGCTGCTGCCAAGAAATACAACATGGATGGACCATTCGGCAAGTGCGCTTTGCTGATGTGGGATGCTGACGTTGATGCACGTTAACACTCAACGCATGAAAGCGTGCTATATACTATCCAACGACTTTGTTTTTTTTGGGAGCAGTGTGTGATTTTTAATGCAGGGTGAGTTAATGTTAGTTGAGAAAAGGAAGCATCTGCTCATGTTTGCTTTTAACCACATTAATCCCTGAGTTTGACCGGATTAAAAAAAAAACGACATACATTCATTGTTTTATAGTGGTGTACATTATTTTAATTGAAGGGATTGTTTTCGGGCAGCAAGGTGGTGAGCATGTCCACCAAACAATGTAGTGGTGCAGGATTCGATTCCAGCTCTGGCCTTCTTGTGTGGAGTTTGCATGCGTGCCTGCGCGGGTTTTCTCTGGGTACTCCGGTTTCTTCCCACATTCCAAAATCCATGCACGTAAATTGTCCCTGAATGTGAGCGTGAATGGTTGTTCGTCCAAGTGTCCTCTGCGATTGGCGGGCAACCGGTTAAGGGTGTACCGAAGACAGCTGGGATAGGCTCCAGCATGCCCGCCACTCTCGTGAGGGTAAGGGGATGAAATGGATGAATGGGATTGTTGTAAGTACAGGCAACACAGTGAGCTAGGGGTTAGCTTGGCAGCCTTGCAGTGTAGTGGTACAGGATTTGAGTCGCTCCTCTGTGGGGCTTACATGTTCTCATTGCACTTGCATGGGCTTCCTCTTCAAAATAGCCAAAGATGTGGATGTTGAATTGACTGGTTGTTTGTCAGTATATGCTCTGCGACCGACTGGTGACCAGCCCAGGGTGTACCCCGTCTCTTGGCCAAAGTCAGCTGGGATAGGCTGCAGATCACCATACCCAAATGAGGGTTGGGTGGTTATAAAGTCGCTAATGTTGATTTTTTTTTTTTGGGTGGCACTTTACAGTTTTTCTCAGTTGCTCCGGGGCATTTGTCAGATCATTTCACATCCTTGTTTCACTTGTGCACATAAAAAAAAGCATTTTTACATTTCTCTGAACAAATTGCAACTGGTTTGCCACATCCATGCAACTGATTATGTAGAATTCTAGGCTGTTTCCGACATTATCAAATGCTTATGGTGATGTTAATCAAAAAGTATGACAATGGGTCTGCTGAATTCTCTCATACCCCACAACATTTTGGTATTAGTTCAGTGGGTAAGTCAAACAGTTGAACACGTCATTATATGTCAGACATATTTATATATATTCCATTAAGGCGAATCTTGACTTTTTGTAATGAAAGGAACGTGTGTGAAACATTAGATAAACTAATGATCAATCAGTTTTCTGAAATAGTTCATGGGAGGTCAAGATAATTGTTGTGAGGTGAATGAGAATTTGTGGCCCACTACTTTTTCTTTCTTACTTTTTTAATTTTTTTTTTCTTGCATTGCTGTTTTCATTTCTGTATCACAATGAGAAAAAAATATATATACTGAAAACAGTAAATTACAGTGCACACAGTAAAAGTGAAATGTGAATCTTGCCCAGTCCCTTACAATCAATCTTCCACATACACAAATGTGTAACTTTCAATTCAGAGTTACTGAATTCTTCATCAAAACTTAAGTGGCAGTTCACATCAGAACATCCCTACAGAGCCCAGTTTTATATTCACAACGTGACTAAGCAATTTCTGTCATCTGTACGCAATGACACCATGAATTGTCGTTCTGATGGCACTGATATGTTCGGTGACACAAATATTGACTTTTGAGCGATTTACTCAGGATTTTGAGAAAGACAATAGCTTTTGTAGGACAACCGTGTTTTGCTATTTGTCTGAACTGATTTGACAAATGCGCTCACTGTTTAGCAAATTTCACTTGTGAGCTGAGAAATCAAAATGCCTGAGAAAAACTGTAAAATAAAAGTGCAGAACTGTTCTAAAGATGCTGCAAGTCCGCACTTGCAGCAAATCAGTTCATCAACTTAATCCTGCAGCATCATTGTGCAGCATTTCGCTCCTTATGGCATGTCCAGTCCGTCCATCCATTCCATCCATTTTCATCACCGCTTACCCTGAACAGGGTCGCGGGGAGTTGCTGCAGCCTGTACCAGCTGACTCCAGGTGGAAATGTTGCACACTCACCAGTTAGACACACTTGCAGGGAGATTTTTATTTTTTAAATGCTGGCTCTGCAATAAAAAGGATGGATGTTTCTGAAAAGCAGAATTGTTGTTATGGCCGTTGGTCTCATTCAACTGTGCAAAGTGTACCTAATGTTGAGGCCAGTGAGCATTTCAGCAACGGACATCCTCAAGATTTGGAGGAGTCTTACAGACCAGGATATTCGTAGTGACAAAAACCTCTGAGAGAGAACACTGTTGTCTTTGAACTGTTGCCTGTTTATAAATAGTACGCCCCAAACACACGGATGCCCAGGGAGTTGAAATGGCTCACATGTGCAATCCCTGCGCCGTTCCCGTCACTGTCATTCTGCTGTCTTGGCATGAGCCACATGTGTGCATTCGTGTGCATGTTGGGTGTTTCAGGGCTGATTAAATTCTAAAGGGGGTGACGACATTCGCTGCATTGTCAAAAATCAATTAAGCGTCATTGTTGACAGTTTTATAAAAATGGTGCTCATTGTGTCGCTTTTTTCTTATACAGTTCACATAGTTACAAGGGGATAACATTTTAATGTTCAGAAATTTATGTAATAATAATATAACATAACATAATAATTTGACGGCTTCATTCAGTGAACATATTTATTTTTTATTTTCAACTTTAAATAATGCATTGTGATGAATGGCTCAGTGCATACTCTGTTCCAGACCTGATGGACTTGTTC